GGGGACAGAGCTGGGGACAGGGCTGGGGACAGAGCAGGGGACAGGACTGGGGACAGGGATAGGGACAGAGCTGGGGACAGGGCTGTGGCCACGCTGACCCGCTGTTCCCGGCACCCCGCGGGCAGAGCCCTCCCGTTCCCCCCGGCCCCACGGCGCTGCCCGGAGGTCACGGCGGGGCTGCCCGGGGCCGCTCCCTCCGCGCTGCCAGCGGCTTTGTTTCCCTTTTTTCTGCTTGGCTTGCGCAGGCTGCACGTGAAGGGATTGGAGCCGCTCTCATTTCGAGCGGCGGGAAGGGGCCTGGCAGCTTTCAGGTCACAAGTTTGTAAAAACACGGAATTCCAGCAAGTTTGTGATGGTTCCTTAAAAGACAGACACCTTCCCGCTGACTGCTAGCTTAGCAATGATTAACCAGAGCCTTTTGGACTCAGATTTGTGTATTTTTGGCTACTTCAATAGCCCTTCCTCTGTCCCCTCCCTCTCCCCCTTCCTGCTTCTCCTTTTTGAATCGGATGGAATGAGTGACACCCTCCTGCTCCCTCCCTCCCCCAGCAGATAGTTGAGCTGCCTCTGCTCAATGACCTGGTTTTCCATGCCGAGCTGTGCTGGGAAGATGTGGAGCAGGAATGTTCCTTTGGTCCAGTGTGCCTGGATGGGCTCTGGCGGAGCAGGATAATGATCATCCGTGAGTTAGTGACCCTTGTGGAGAGATCATTTGTCTCCCAGAAGCTGAGAAATGGGAATTTCTCACAAGGAGGTGAACGCAGCTCTTGCAGGGGTGATCCCACCCCACGATCCCGCTGAACACGAGGCAGAGCCGCCCTGCTCCCGGTTATGCCGGGCTCAGGGAAGAATAGCTCGGCTATCAGCACTCTCAGCTGCTACTTGTCCCCAAGGGGGTGCAATGTGTTTGTCAAAAACTGGATTTCCAGGCAGCTGACATCTCTAAATGATGGGTTTAGCAGGTTAGGGGTAATGGCACACTGTTTTCACACGGATCCTGGAATCTTTCAGAGAGTGAAAGGACGTGGACTCAGTTCTGTGCCAGATAGCATCCTGAGGAACCACAGAGTCATGGAATGCTTTGGGATGGAAGGGACTTTAAAGCCCATCTCATTCCACCCCCTGCCACGGGACACCTTCCCCTAGACCAGGCTGCTCCAAGAAGTGGTGAAGTGGGTCCAGAAGCCAGAGGTGAATTCCTTGGATGTCCTCCATGTGCCGAGGAGTTTACCCCAGTTCCTTGGCTCCGACTCCCAAAAATCCCTGCCTGAAGCCAGAGAGGCTCCGACTTGGCAGCCTGGGACTTGTCGCGACATGGGCCTCTTGCTCATTATTTTCCCAGTGCGGACTTTCCCAAAGGAAATGGGAAAAGCAGCCTGCGGTTCTGCCCCCTCCCCTTCCCTGGCGCTCTTCTGGGGGAGACAATGAACCTTTTACACATTCCCAATTACAAGTGCTACTTGTGACCTTGCCAATATGTTGTCATGGCTGCTTGGCGCAGGAGCAGCTCGGCGAGCTCATTCACGGCCCCTTGTCCGGGAACAGTCGGAGCCTCTGAATTGTCGCGGCTCCATTGTCCGCGGGATTCACACATCGCCCGTGTCTGTCCCGGCCAGGAGCGGCCTTGCCCAGCCCTTGGGAAGCGCCTCGCAGGAGATGCCAGGCAGGCACTCGGTGCCTGTTTTCTGACTCGCTGTAAATTCTTCCTTTTCAAGGCTCTGACCTTTCCTCGCTCTCCGTTTCCTTCTCCTTTTGTCCCCTCGGGTTCGCGCCGGCTGCGGCGGCAGCCCCGGAGGGGACCCAAACGCGCTCTGGGTTCCAGGCTGGGGTTTTCCCTGGAGCCACGCCAGGCTCGGGAGCTCAGGAAAGGCAGCGAAGCCCAACTCAAGTCGGGGAATGCCCCTTTTTTTTTTTTTTTTTTTTTTGGCTAAACCGGTCCTTGTGACCCCTGCGATCAAATTGTCAGGGCTGACAGCTGCAGATGGATCGCTGCGGGCCGGGAACAAGCGGGCTGTCTCTGCCGAGCTGTCAGGTTTCACAGCTGTATATCTCACCTCTTTGTCAGCCTCCTTTCTCCCCGCTCTCCCCCAGCCCACCCCGTGCTATCTTTTGATAAGCTATTCTCTCCACGGATGACTCAGATGACCTCTGCCTCCCATCCTCCCGATTCACTGCCATGGTAACAATTACTCAAGCTTGTCCCCAGTCATAAACCCCATCAAAGCTTTGTTATCTACACAGAAACCCTCCTGGGAGACATGAATTCCCCCAGTGTTCCTTCCAGATCACCTGTAACAGAGCTTTTCTCATTCAGATCCTCTTTATCTTTTGGAAATGTGTCACTTCACACCAGCACCGCTTTGAATCTCGCTGCCTACACGGGGCTGTGGGCTGGTGCTGCTGGGGGGATGCATTCCAATGGAATTGGGATTATGTCATCCCGGAGGGAGGGAGGGAGGGAGGGAGGGATGGATGGATGGATGGATGGATGGATGGATGGATGGATAGATGGATGGATAATGGATGGATAATGGATGGATGGATGGATGGATGGATGGATGGATGGATGGATGGATGGATGGATGGATGGATAATGGATGGAGGGATGATGGATGGATAATGGATGGATGGGTGGATGGATGGATGGAGACTTGGCCCTTCTCCTTGTGCTGTGGAGTCCAGCACTGCTCAAAGCTATTCCATGGGGAAGGATATTCCTGAAGTGTTGGGAAGCTGCAGGGAGGCTGCAGGGTGGGGGTGAGGAGGGAGCTGCAGGCCTGCAGAGCTGGTGGCAGAGCTGTGCCCAGGGCTAGCACTGGGATCTGGATTCGAGTGTGAGATGTGCAGAGGGATAACATTCCACGGGAATAACTCTGCTGCCTGTCAATGCATTTCCATGAGAACCAGAACATCACCACTATCTTTGGACATAGGAGGCAGAACTAAAATTAAAACTTGATCTGGGGAGGGGAGGTTGAGCCTGCCTGAAGCACACACCAGGAGCAGCAGGGATGTGCTGACCAGAGGGGGATTCCAGAAGTTCTTTCCTTCTTGTTTGACCTGGCAGGTGATGAGGAATGAGGAGCTGACCCAGGAGCTGCTCAGCCTGGCCAAAGAGAGCATCCACCCCCCTGGCCCGACCCATCAATCCTCCCCCGAGCTGGGAAGGGGGAGAGCAGGGGGACATCCCCTCTCTGCTCGGAGGAGGAAGGTAAGGGACTCTCTGCCCTTCCACCAGCCCCTGGGAGAACAGGATCTACCAGGCCCCTTCTTCTCTCTCCCCAAAGCAGCCCGAGGATGCAGCTGCCTCTGAACACGAGCAGCAGGAGCTGGAAGGAAACGTGAGTGTGTGGGGGTCTGCTGCTGGATCCTTGGGAAGCAGAGGGGGATTGATTCCAACTGCGGCTGGCACCTCCTGCTGCTAACTTGAGTTCTGTGGATCAGCTGATGCCTTGATTCATTTTAAATCCTTTTTTTAAACTCTGCAGTTGCAAAATGAGACGAGAATAACTCCAGATGTGCAGGCAGAGCTGAGGAGGGCAGAGGTGATTGCTTGGTCCGTGCCCTGGCAGGGGGGACACAGGCAGGAGCTCAGAAGCCAGCAAGTGCAGAAGACACTTTTTTTCCTCCTTTGTCACACTTGAGAAATCTGGGGGTGATGAAGCACCCAAAACTGAGAGCACAGAGATGGTTCCTGCCTCCTCCCCATCTGCAGCCCTTGCAGAACCAGCTTGGGCTCTGCCAGCAGCTCCTGCTGGGAATCTGCCTCTCAATGTGAGCGTTTCCCTCGGGAGAGCGACACATGTGCACCTCCACGTGCCCTGGCTGTGCATCACACACCATTCCTGCCCTGCTAGAGGGCACCAGTCCCTCCCAGTTTAACCAGTCCTTCCCTCAGCATGTCACTGCTCAGCTGGACAAGTGCTCAGCTCGAGGTTCTCCTCACTTTGTCCTCTCTTCACTCAGCCTTCTGCCTCATCTTTCTCTTCGTTTGTCCCTCAGTTGCTTGGAAACCAGGATCACATAAAACTGGAGATGGAAAAACTGAAGAAAACCCACAATGAGCAGCAGCAGAAGCTGGAGGAGCGAGTGTGAGTGTCCCTCTGCTTGGCCAGGTGTTTGTGGGATTGTTGCAGCTGGATTTGAGCCATGGGAGCAGGAGAGGAGGCAGTCTGCCCTGGGGGGTACAGGGAAGGAATTACAATCCACCCTTGGAAGAAGTGAGGCCTGGAAGGAAAACTTGGTGTTTTCAAGGTTCTTCAGAGCTGTCAGATAAAAGTTGGTGGTGTTCAGGGACACCTTGAAAATCCACTCTCTGTGACACACAGCAAATGTGTGATATTCCAGAGATGAATCCAGCCCAGCCCTTATCCATACAGTGGGTTTTCCATCACCTTGGAATGGGTTAATGTCCCAGGAAAGGCTGCCCCAGCAGGGATGCTACAGTGGAGGGTGTTCACCTTTAGTGGGGAGAGATTTTGTGGCACTGGTTGACACACCTTTGGAGGCTGGCAGCTGCTGCTGGGAGATTTCTGTCATTCCAAAGTGATTTTCTTCCCCAGGCTGGCTGTGTTGGACCTATGGAGAATCCCAGAATCCCAGAAAGGGTTGTTTTAGAAAGGACCTTAATGCCCATCTCACTCCATCCCCTGCCATGGGCAAGGTCACAGGGACACCCCTTCCGGTGGGGGTTGTTTCAAGCCCCATCCAGCCTGGCCTTGAACACTTTCAGGGATGGAGAAGGAGTTTGGGTGGTTAAAATAATCCCAGTTTGTTCCTGTGTGTCCAGGCTGGCGCTGGGGCAGGAGCTGCAGGAGGCGAAGGGAGCGGTCGGGGCCGGCCAGCGCAGGCTGGTGGAGCAATCAGCGGTGAGGACAGAATCCCTCCTCCCCGTCCTGAGCTCCTCCTGAGCCGGCAGGGCTGGCATGCCTTGGATCCAGGTGCTCCAACACCTCTCCCTCTCCAGGGAGTTTGTCACACCAAGGTTCTCCCCGTGCAGTTTCCTCCTGCACGTGGTGGAAGTGCTGCTTGCAAAGCTGGTGGGAGGAATTTTGCTCGCTGGTTTGCAGAAAGAGTTGGTGGAATCACCGGGGTGGGGGGTGGCAAATGACAGAAGGTAGCAGGGGAATAGGGATTATAAACATTTCCAGTGAGTTCCTCAGAAAATCCAGGACCTTTCCAGCTCTACTGAAGCCAAATATCTGGAAATGAAGACCCTCAGCTCTTATGAAGCATCTCAGCTCTCACTCCTCAGCTGGAGGAGTGAGATTTTTGCAGGATTTTTGTTTGCTGTGCCAGGTGCTGCTCACATGCCAGGGCCAGCTCCAGGAGGTGGAGGCAGAGAACTCCCGGCTGCAGCTGCGGCTGAAGGAGCTGAACGAGGAATATCGCTCCAGGCTGGGGCAGTACATCAGGGATGTGGCGGTGGGTACCCCCAGCCCGGGGCTCTCCTGGCCTGGGGAGATGTCACAGAATCATGGATGTCACATCCCTTCCTGAGCTGGAAAAGATGCACAAAGATCATGGATCCAGCTCCTGGCCCTGCACAGACACCCCAACAGTCCCACCCTGTGCATCCCTGGCAGCGCTGTCCAAACACTCCTGGAGCTCTGGCAGCCTCGGGGCCGTGCCCATTCCCTGGGGAGCCTGGGCAGTGCCCAGCACCCTCTGGGGGAAGAACCTCTCCAGCCTGACCCTCTCCTGGCATAGCTCCTGTCATTCCCTCAGGTCTCTCCATACTAGCACCCTCCTCTTGCCAATAAATTAGAGTAAATACATAAAGAAAGGGGTTTTTAAATCCCTTTAATCTGACCACGAAAAGTCCCAGCAGAAGCTCACCTATAATTTTGCATGGCAATACAGGAAATCTGGGTGCAGGGAGGACTGCCATAGAATCATGGAATGGATTGGAAGGGACTTTAAAGCCCATCCAGTGCCACCCCTGTCATGGGCAGGGACACCTCCCACTAGCCCAGGTTCCTCCAATCCCTGTCCAACCTGGCCTTGGACACTTCTAGGGATCCAGGGGCAGCCACAGCTTCTCTGGGCACCCTCCCAGGGTACAATTCCTTCCCAATATCCCATCTGGCAGTGGGAAGCCATTCCCCCTGGATTTCCCTCTCTGTGCATTTACAGAACTACATGGACAGCAAACCCAGCAGTGTGACAGGACACAGCAAAGCCCCGGCTGGCCAAGCTGCCATGAAGAACTTTGTGGACAGCATGCTCAGGGATATCCGGGCTTCCTACAAGTGCCGGGAAGAGCAGCTGGCTCGAGCAGCTCGTGGCTACAAGAAACGCATGAAGGACTTGGCCAGGAAGCACGAGAACCTGCTGATTGCATATGGGTAACTCAGCCACCTCCTCCCTCAGGGCCAAGAGAAAAACCCCATTGCACCCATCCCCTGCCCTAGAGGAGGCAAACACGGCTCCCAGATGGAGCAGAGGATCTGGAATGCACATTTATCTCCTTGCTCCTGGCAATCCAGGATCAAGCTGCCTCCAGCTGCATATCAGGGTGCTCTGGACCCCATGGAGCTGCTCTGCACATATGTTCCTCCCACTTAAAATGCAGGGTGAGAGATTGATCCCACGGTGGATGGTGTGGAAATGCAGAGGTACCACAAATAGCTCCACCTCCCAGCCCGTCCCTGCAGTGCTCTCAGCTCTCTCACAGCTTGGGCTGTGGGAAGCAGCAGAAATACTTGTGGTATCAAAGCCACAAATAGCTCTAGGACAAGCTCCCTTCAGAAACTCTCCCACTTATCCTTTGCAGGTGGCCAGAACCAGCAGGTCCCAGTGAGTGGCACTTTCAGGAGCAGCAGAACTGCTCAGTGATGTCCCCCAAAACTGACCCCTGTGCTGATTGCAGGCTGCAGCGAGAGCAGATCCGGTCCCTGGGGAGCAGAGCTGTGGACTGTGGCCCTGCTGAGCTCCACTTCTGCATCACAGAGCCAGAGCTGCTGACAAACAGCTCCCGGGAGCTGAACCGCCTGCGGGAGGAAAAGGCCAAGCTGGAGATGCAGCTGCAGGAGCTGCACAAGGTCGGGAGCTGAGGCTTGGTGGGAAGAGTTTAATGAGCTGTAGATTCAGCCCCTTCCTCAAGGCATTTATAGGATTGGTTAGGTTGGAAAAGCCCTCTCAGTTCATCTAGTCTAACCATCCCCTAGCACTGCCAAGGCCACCACTAAGTCATGTCCCCAAGTGCCACATCCACGCTCTGCCTGAGGGTTTGCTGTGCCTGTGGCACAGTCAGGGAACACAGCAGTCATCTCCATGTGACAGAATCATGGAATCCTAGAACGGGTTGGGTTGGAAGGGACCTTAAAGCTCATTGCATTCCATCCCCTGCCATGGGCAGGGACACCTTCCACCATCCCAGGCTGCTCCAAGCCCTGTCCAACCTGGCCTTGGATGCATTGATTTAAAAATTCTGAGGATGGGAGACCTGAAACCTTCAGATTGTACAGCCCATCGTTTCCTTGCCATGGCACTGGTGGCTGTGGGAGTGCTGGGATGTCTTGTGCCACTTGCAAGGGGCCTTGCAGGAAAAAAGGGAGAATGTCTTTTTACATGTGGAGATAGTGACAGGACAAAGGGAATGGATTTAAACTAAAAGAGGAGAGATTTAGCTTGGATGTAAGGAAGGAATTCCTCCTCCCTGGGAGGGTGGGCAGGCCCTGGCACAGGGTGCCCAGAGAAGCTGTGGCTGCCCCTGGATCCCTGGCAGTGCCCAAGGCCAGGCTGGATGGGGCTTGGAGCAGCCTGGGACAGTGGAATGTGTCCCTGCCCCTGACAAGGAATGGAATGGGATCACCCTTAAGATCACTTCCAGCCTAACCCATTCCATGACAGTATTTCTCTGAAAGTGGCAGATCTGAGATTGCAATGGGTTCGTCTTTACAGGAATTCTGTTCTTCCTTTGCCTCCAGAAAAGCCTGAAAGGAGCCTCTGCCTTTCCAGTGCCTCCAGAGAAGTAAGTGCTGTTTGTTTCTTGGGACATCTATCATTCCAAATTCTCATGAATGGATTGAGGGATCTTTTTTGCCTGACTGGAGGCAGCAATAAACAAGGAAAGGGAGCTGCTGGGGCCTGCTCTGGGCAGAAGACGCAGCTGTCCCCTCAGCACAGCTTCCTGCAGGAAGAGCCTTGGTCACTGGGCCTTGATCCAAGAAAGCTCTTAAGCACATATTTGATTTAATCATGTTTTTAGCCCCGCTGACCTCTTTAAAAGCTGAAGCTAAGCATATGCCCAAGTGCTTTGGTGGCTCTCAACTCATGAGACAGCATCAGTTTGGGATGGTCCTGTTTTTCCTCCTTCCCAGTGCAGGAGTTGGGCTGGAACCCTTTGGTGCCACTGTGCTGATGCTTCCCTGGCTTCCCAACAAACTCTGAAATTGCTACATTTTGATGGGGCTCTTCTCCCTGCCCCATTATCCTGCTAAAACTCAACCAGCTATAGCTGTGGAGGCGTGGAACAAAGTGCAGCAGAAACCTGAGCTGAGGTTTTTCAGCCCTTTAAGAGACGTGGTCACTTAGAAAACATGTCAAATATTCCATTAACTGGATGCCAGCACTGAGGAGTGGGTGAGTGCCAGAGCCCCTGGGCTCTGCAGAGGTGTCTCAGGCACAAGCTCGAGCCTCAGCCAGTCTCTGCCATGTCCTGCACACTGAAAATAGCAATGGTCCGTGAGTAAATGCAGGGATTTGGGCAGACACCACAGGAGCAGGGCATGGAAAGTCCAGAACCTGAATTTCAGTGATGCATCTCGTCATTTGGGGTTTTTTTAACTGCCAAGAGACCCCAGCACGTCACACACTGCTGGGTTAATCCGTGCTATGACCCCGCTCCTCCAGCTAGGGACAGGAGTCCCGGTGTTCCCGCAGCACTTCAGCTCCAATTCCCGCAGCTTCCCGCCTTTGTCAGAGAACAGGTTGGGCTGGGAGGGACCTTAAAGCCCAGCTCCTTCCACCTCCCATGCTGGGGGGCTTCACCAGCCGCACCATTCCCTGTTCATGGCTCCCTGCTCCTCGGGCTCCCACGAAAGCGCCGCCGGGCTCTGCCGGGAAGCTGCGGAGGGAACAGGAGGGAGCACGATGCATTCCTGCCTCCACACTGCCCAAATTCCCCGAGCATCAGATGTGACCTGTATTTCCCTCCCGGAGGCTGGGACGGGGTGGGAAGGGTTTTCCCACGCCGGGCTGTGCAGACAGCTCACCTCTGCTGGTGCTCGCTGACAGAACAGCTCCCTGCTCCCAACAGGGCAAGTGCCAGCCCTTGGCATTGATGGCTCCCTGTTCCCATCACATCCAGCCCTGCAGGGGCAGGTTCAGGACTCCTCCTGCGTTGATGTGGCTCTGGAGCACCCAGGCTGTGGGTGGGGAGCCCCAGATTGGCAGAAGGGCTGTGACTCTGATGGTGCTGCACGCCCTGAGGAAGTTTGGGCATTGGGAAAGGAAGGGTTCCAGTTCAGGGCTCATGGTGGGATGGGCAGCAGTCGTGTGGAGCTGTGTGATCTGTGCAGGGGCTGGGTTTGATGTCTGGGCATGATCCAAATGAGCTCTTCTGTCCCAGGCAGCTGGATGAGGAGGGCTGGGCAGAGGTGAGGAAGAAGCTCCAGGAATTCGCACTCAACACCCAGGTAAAGGTCTGGGACAGCCCTTTGGAGCCAGAGCTTATCTCTCACATCTTACCCACATGGCAGAGATGTGCTGCCTCAGCTCCTGCCCTGGGGCTGAAATGCTGCTCCAGGCTGGAGGGGGAAACTTCCATGGAGTCACAGAATATCCTGAGTGGGAAAGACCCACAAAGATCCTCCAGCCCTGCACAGACACCCCAAAAATCCCACCCTGGGCATCCCTGGCAGAGCTGCCCAAACACTCTTGGAGCTCTGGCAGCCTCGGGGCCGTGCCCATTCCCTGGGGATCACTTTCCATGGCTTTGGCCTCAGCCCTCCGAGCAATGCTGGCAGATCCTGGCTGGTGCTGTCTCAAATCTTTTCTGTCCCTGCTACTAAAGGAAGGAGAGCAGGCCCTTGTCACTCCTGCCCACGTTTCAGAACAACCTTTTGGCACCTCTGTAACAAACTGAGGCTGATTGCTCCCCGTTGCTGGCACTGCTGGGACATTTCCAGTCCTGGGGGCAGTTTTGGGCCCATCATGAATGGAAGGACATTGATGGGCTGGAGCGTGTCCAGGGAAGGGAACTGAACTGGGGAAGGGGCTGGAGCACCAGGAGAGGCTGAGGGAGTTGGGAAAGGGGCTCAGGTAGAATCTTCTGGCTCTGCACAACTCCCTGACAGGAGGGGACAGCCAGGTGGGGTCAAGCTCTGCTCCCAGGGAACAGGGACAGGATGAGAGGGAACAATCTCGAGCTGTGCCAGGGGAGGTTTAGGTTGGATATTGGGAAAACTTCTTCATGGGAAGGGTGGTCAGGCACTGGCACAGCTGTCTGGGGTGGTGCTGGGGTCACCATCCCTGGAGGCATTTAAAAGCCATGTGGATGTGGCACCGAGGACATGGGTTAGAGGCGACCTTGGTAGTGCCAGGCTAACACCTACACTCTGGTGGGCTTTTCTAATCTGCATAATTTCACAATTCTTTGATTCTATTCGACCTGGTTCAAGTCTAGTCTGAACCTGAATCAGCTTCCCAGTCTGGTTCCTGCTGGCTGCAGGGATTTTCACTGCCATGTCGGGCCTTTCCCTACCCACAGCAACCTGGGGGAGAGCTCCACTATTTCCTGGGCATGTAAAGCTCAGCACCTGTACCAGGTGTATCTGTGGCCACAAGAAGGGAGATGCTGTGGCTGAGAGGCTGGAGTGATGGGGAAGTGGTCGGAAGGTCGGACTCACATAGCAGAGAGGAGCTGAGCAACGTCACTCCCATGGCACAGATTCCCTTTTTTCCGTGTTTTCTCCACGGCTTTTTGCCCCTGCAGGAGGACCTGGAGCAGGAGAGAAGCCAGCTGCTGACTCGGGCCGTGGTGGCAGAGGAGCAGGTGTCAGAGCTGCAGGGGTACATAGATCAGCACCTTGCCAGGTGAGAGGGGGCATCCCCCCCGTGCTCTGCTCCATCTCCAGGCTTGGTGCCAGTGACATCTCTGTGCCCACTGCCGACCCTGCCAGCACAGCTGATGTCCCACTGCTTCTCCAGCTGTGCAGGCAGCTGCCACCACCTCTTGTCCCACTGGGCAGTAGGACAGACGCCCTGCCACACGTGTCCTTCCCTGCAGGCTCACCCATCCTTGGGAGGAATCAGAATCAGGAAATGGGTTGGGTTGGAAGCGATATAAACGTTCATCGAGTTCCCCTGCCATGGGCAGGGACACCTTCCACTAGCCCAGGTGGCTCCAAACTCTGTCCAACCTGGCCTTGGACACTGCCAGGGATCCAGGGGCAGCCACAGCTTCTCTGGGCACCCTGTGCCAGGGCCTGCCCACCCTCCCAGGAAACAATTTCTTCCCAATATCCCATCCAGCCCTGCCCTCTGGCAGTGGGAAGCCATTCCCTGTGCCCTGTCACTCTATGCCATTTTCCAAAGTCCCTCTCTTGCTCTCCTGGAGCCCCTTTAGGCCCTGAAAGGGGCTCTGAGGTTTCCATGGAACCTTCACAGGAACCTGAAATCTAAAGTCTAATCTAAAGCCTAAAACCTTTAGAGTTCTTTTTTTCACAGATTGTAATCTAAGTCCCTCAGCAGCCCCTGATCTATGCTCCCTTCTCCCTGGCTCATCCTGCTCTGGAGCAGGGAGAACAGCAGGGAAGGGCAGGGAAGGGAGAGGACAAGCAGGGCAGGTGTGTCAGGGCATGATCCACCTGCTCCTGCTGCGAGCTTGGGTCAGGCTCTGCCCTTACCTGGCAGAGCCCATGAACCCCTTTTCTTTGGGAAAGGCTGTGGAATCTACGTGCCAGGCTCAGCTCCTGGCCTGGCTCATTGCCCAGGGACCCTGAGTAGCCAGGCAGTGACAGTGGCACTTCCCCTGCAGGTACAAGCAGGAGATCCTCCAGCTGAGGAGTGCTGAGGTGCCCCGTGCCAGGAGTGCCAGCCACAAGCCATAGCAGCCCCAGCCTGGGGAACACCCAGAGTCCATGTGCTTCATGGACTGCCAGGCAAGGATCCTCCCCAGGCTGGGAGGTGAGAACAGCGAGCAAAACCACGTGGGTGTCCCTGGTCTTAAATTCACAGGGCTAAAATGAGACAAGACAACTGTGTCTGTCTGTCCCCAGCCATCTGTCAGCTGCAGGAATTCTGCTCTTCCCTGAGCACACCTCGGGCACAGGGTCAGGTTCCCAAGCAGCTCTTTACTCCTGGGTGTGGGGACAGGTTCCTGCTCCTGCTGTAACATTTTTCCTGGATGAGACCTGGACCTGGACCAAGGGCTGCTCCTGCCTCACTCCCCTCACAGCTCCTGCAAGACAGAGCCAAGGCTGGCTCAGGCCAGGATCTGTTCTGGGGTTGGACAAAGGGATGAGCTGCTCTTTTACTGTGAGGGTGGTGAAAGGTTGCCCAGAGAAGCTGTGGCTGCCCCTGGATCCCTGGCAGTGCCCAAGGCTAGGTTGGATGGGGCTTGGAGCAGCCTGGGACAGTGGAAAGGTGTCCCTGCCCATGGTAGGGGGTGGAACAAGAGGAGCTTCAAGGTCCCTTCCAACCCAACCCAACCCAACCCAACCCAACCCAACCCAACCCATTCCATGATTCTGTGAGTCTATGATGGGAAAACCCCATTTTCCTGTGTTTGAGTGGAAAATGGAATATGAGCAGGGCCAAACTGATCCTTCACAGAGGTGAGCTGGGAAGGATGATGGAGCAAAGCCCAAGTCCAGGAGCAACAGCTGCTCCAGCTCCAGGACCATCCAGCATCTCAAAGACAAAGCAAAAACCTCAGAGGAACAATCAACCAAAGCTTTATTTTTTAAAATTAAACAGAAATAAAGTAGCAATCATCCAAAAAGATGCACTGGAGCTTTATCACTTAAATCCTGCATTAACCCAGGATTTCTAGGTCTGATTTTCTCCTCTCTTGCTTTGCTCACACTCTGCAAGTCCCCAGGACAAATGCTGGCCAAGCACTTCTGTCCTGAGCTGAGCCAAGGGCTCGAGTGGCTCTGACCCTTAATGCCAGGCTTAACGAGGCTGGTGTTAAACCGGGTTTAACGAGGCTGGGGTCAGACCTGGCTTTCCTGGGCGCTGCCCTGTGCTTCTCGCCGCACTTCCTTCATGTCATAGGCCCAGACCTGCTCCAGCCCCTGCCCCAGGGAGCTGCTGGGGGTCCAGCAGGGGAAGGGGAAGCGTCCGGCCACCACCCGGGCGTCGTCGGGCAGTTCTGCCAGCAGCTTGGTGGCCAAGGGAGGTTTCTGGGGAGAGAGACACATCCAGGGACAGGCAGCCTTAGGACACAGTCACACAGTGGCAGTGCCACCAGGGACCATGGGGCAGCTTCTGGGGCATCAAGCAAAAACCCTTCAAAGCATGGCCTTGTGTAAGGCTGGGACTTGGAGCAAGTGATGAGCAGCAGGACAAGAAGAAATGGCCTCAAGTTGCACCAGGGGAGGTTTAGGTTGGATATTGGGAATATCCCTTCATGGGAAGGGGTGTCAGGCACTGGCACAGCTGCCCAGAGCAGTGGTGGGGTCCACATCCCTGCAGGGCTTTAACAGACATGGATGTGGCACTTGGGGACATGGGTTAGTGGTGGCCTTGGCAGTGCTAGAGGAATGGTAGGACCCCATCCCAGAGGGATTTTCCAACCTAAATGATTCCATGATTCTATAAATCCAAATGCTGTGTAGCACCAAACCACTCACCCACAGTGATGCCCAATTTTCCTTATTCCATCCCAGATCCCCCCTCTTTCCCAAGAAAAGCCCCCTGGAGCGGGTCCAGAACAATTCAAGGTATGAGGGACTGACTCACCACGCTGGGGGCCAGGAACACGATCACGTTGTGGCAGTCAGAAAGATTCACCTTAAAACAGAAGGAAAAGGAGAATAACGAGCAACAGGCAGAGCAGGGACAACTGCTGGAGCATCCAAACCTTGTGGCTTGATCACCTTGTGGGTGATCTTTGGAACCTTGGAGGGAGCAGAGATGCCACAAAACACGTGGGATGGGGAAGTGTGGGTGTGAAAGCAGCACATCTTGGGGAACACCTGCCTCCAGCAGACCCACATATCCTGGTGGATTCTCTCTGGTCAGGCTGCAAATACCTTATGTCAGCCTGAGAAACTCATCTCTGCAGGTGACCCTGTCAGACCTCTCCTCAGAGCTGCTCCAAGCAGCAGAACTGGCCACGGGCTGTCCCAGCTGCCATTCCCCTGGAAAGGAGGATGGTTTTCCACCTCCCTGGGATGGGGAAGGAGCAAGCAGCCACCAGCAAATCCATCCTGGAGATGCAAAAAGAGTTCTTGCTCTGCCCTGAGCACATCCAGACCCTGGGGATGCTGTTACCTTCCACAGATCCTTCTTCAGGAAGGAGACCTTCCCGTGGCACCCAGCCTTCCAGGCACGGTAGTTGGCCAGGCACAGCAGCCAGGGGTTGAGCTCATAGCCCAGGGCTGGCCTCAGCCCCTGCTTGTGAGCCTCGAGCACCTGCAGAGAGAGAGAGGGAGGGCTGAAACCCAAAGCGTCTCAGTGGTGAGTCTGGGGCAGGATTTGGGTGGGCAGGGGCTGTTCCCCAGTTCCACTCACCCCATCCTGCTGGCTCACAGGTGGTGACCTCAGTGCTCAGCACCACCCAAAGCCCCATTCCCACCCTGCTCCATGCATGTGATGTCTTTCAGGGCTAAGGACAACCTATGACCACCTAGAGCCACCCTGGGCCACCTAGGACTGCCTAGAACCACCTGGGGCTGTTTAGAGCCACCTAGGACCATGCTGGGTCACCTAGGATCATTTAGGACCACTTAGGACCACCTAGGACAGTCTAGGACCATCTAGGACAACCTAGGAACATCTAGGGACACCTAGAGCAATCTAGAACCAACTTACAGCTGCCTAAGACCATCAAGGACCCTCTGGGACCACCTGGGATGGTCCTGGAGCGTAGCCAGGAGGGCCACCCAGAACAGCAGCCGGGCGGGGGTCTCCCCTCCCCCCTCCCTGCCCTTCGCCCACCTCGGACACCCCAAACCCCCCCGGACCCATCCCTTACGAGCCGTCCATCTCCGGATCCCAGATCCACGGTCTTCCCGGGGCGGTCCCGCAGCAGGGCCAGGGCGTTGGCCACTTGCCGTGGGCTGGAGGGCTGGTAGGGCACCTGGGGGGCACAGGGGGGTCAGGGGGCCAGGCTGTGGGGTCGGGGATGGGGGGTCCGGGGGAAGGCGGGGTACCTGCAGGCGCAGGGGGACGCGGCGGAAGCCGGGCATGAGCAGCACAGCCCAGGTAGCCCAAGCGGCCGCCCCGCTGGCCACCGCCAAGGCCAGCAGCCCCCGGCCGCCCAGCTCGCCCCCGGGCCGTGCCCAGCCCGGCTCCCCCGGCTCGCCCGGCTCCCAGCACTGCTCCATGGCCGCCGGAAGGGGAGGGGAGCCCGGCCGGAGCCTTCCGCCGGGAGCGGCACCGGGACACCGGGACACCGGGACGCCGGGACGCCGGGACGCCGGGACGCCGGGACACCGGGACGCCGGGACACCGGGACGCCGGGACGCCGGGACACCGGGACGCCGGGACGCCGGGACACCGGGACACCGGGACGGGGCAGGGACGGGGGCACGGAGGGACACGGCTCTGGGGACAGGAGAGACAGGAGGGACACGGCTCCGTCACGGGACTGACTCGGCTCTGGGGATCCGCGCTGGCTCCGCCCCGGCGCTGCGTGAGCGGGTGTGAGAACAACTCTGTGTGTGTGTG